GAGATAAAATAGCTCATTACAGATAAGTCCTCGGCTTACAAGAGTTCATTCAGTGACCATTCAAAGTTACAACGGCACTGGGAAAAGTGACTTATGACAGTTCTTCGCACTTAGGACCGTTGCAGCGTCCCCGTGGCCACCTGATCAAAATCCAGATGTTTGGCAACCGACTCATATTTATGACGGTTGCAGAGTCCAGGTGTCATGTGACCTTCTGACAAGCAAGGTCAATGGGGGAACCAGCTTCACTTAACAACCACGTTACTAACTTAACTGTGGTGAGTCACTGAATAACTGTGGCAAGGTTGTAAAATGGGGGCAAAATTCACTTAACAACGGTCTCGCTGAAGAGGAGGAAACGTTGGGCTGAGTCGTGGTCCTAATCCAAGGACTACCTGTGTTTGCAGCCGAGGTACTAATTTTAGCACAGGCCAAAAAAGAGGGGGGGTATGTTCTCTTTTTTCTCCTCCACTTAAGTCCCTTAAAAAAGGCAGCCGGAACATTTTGCCCAGATTGTACCAACTGCAGCCCAGGTGAAAACTATGGAAAGATCTCTGTCGTAACTTGAGCACGTAGCTGCCAAAGAAAGAAGGGAGGGAGGGAGGGAGGAAGAAAGGAAAGGAGGAGGGAGGGGAGAGTAAGTAAGTAAGTAAGTAAGTAACTAAGTAAGTAAGGAAGGAAGGAAGGAAGGAAGGAAGGAAGGAAGGAAGGAAGGAAGGAAAAGGCAGGGAGGGAGAGAGGGAAGGAAGGAAGGAAAAGACAGGGAGGGGAGGGATGGATGGATGGAAGGAAGGAAGATTAGACCAAGGGAGGAAGTAAGGAAAATGAAGGGAGGCAGGAAAATGGGAGGGAGGGAGGAAAGGAAGGAAGGAAAGGGAGAGAGGGAGGAAGGAAGATTAGAGCAAGGGAGGAAGGAAAATGAAGGGAGGCAGGAAAATGGGAGGGAGGGAAGGAAGGAAACGAAAGGACAGGGAGGGAGAGAGGGAAGAAAGGGAGGGAGGAAGGCAGGAAAATGGGAGGGAGGGAGGAAAGGAAGGAAGGAAAGGGAAGAAGGGAGGAAGGAAGGAAAAGGAAGGAAGGCAGGAAGGCAGGAAAATGGGAGGGAGGGAGGAAAGGAAGGAAGGAAAGGGAGGAAGGAAGGAAAATGAAGGAAGGCAGGACAATGGGAGGGAGGAAAGGAAGGAAGGAAAGGGAGGAAGGAAGGAAAATGAAGGAAGGCAGGAAAATGGGAGGGAGGGAGGAAAGGAAGGAAAGGGAGGGAGGAAGGAAGGAAAATGGGAGGGAGGGAGGGAAGGAGGGAAGGGCAGGGAGGGAGGGGAAAACGTGCTTGCCAGAACATGGAATGTGTATGTCAATGCTTTGCAGGGTGAGTCAATGGCAAGTTTCCCCCCCGCCCGCTGACTCTTTTCACCTTCTGTGCTTTCATGCGTCATGTGGTCATTGGTCACTTCTTAAGCACATGGCCTTTTGCTCATCCGTGGAACCCCTCAGAGGTGGCTTGAGTGGGAGGGGAGGAATGGCACAGCTGTGAGGAGGCTCTAAATTTGCACCGGAGGACTTTCCAGACCCTTACAACTCCCTTCCTTCCTTCCTTCCCAGCAGGAGCTGAGGTAACGGGCATTTTATCTAGGCCAGGGGTCTTCCAACTTGGCTCTTTTATGACTCCTGGACTACAACTCCCAGAATTCCTGAGCCAGCCACGCTGAGGGGAAAGGGAGAGGTTTCCAAGTTGAGCCAGGCTGGCTCAGGAATTCTGGGAGTTGAAGTCCACGAGTCATGAAGGGGCCAAAGTTTCCCTCATGCTGGCTCAGGAATTCTGGGAGTTGAAGTCCACGAGTCATGAAGGGGCCAAAGTTTCCCTCATGCTGGCTCAGGAATTCTGGGAGTTGAAGTCCACGAGTCATGAAGGGGCCAACGTTTCCCTCATGCTGGCTCAGNATGCTGGCTCAGGAATTCTGGGAGTTGAAGTCCACGAGTCATGAAGGGGCCAAAGTTTCCCTCATGCTGGCTCAGGAATTCTGGGAGTTGAAGTCCACGAGTCATGAAGGGGCCAAAGTTTCCCTCATGCTGGCTGAGGAATTCTGGGAGTTGAAGTCCACAAGTCATGAAGGGGCCAACGTTTTCCTCATGCTGGCTCAGGAATTCTGGGAGTTGAAGTCCACCAGTGATAAAAGAGCCAAGGTCGCCTACCCCTGGACTAGACATCCCCAATTCCAGCAACTGTTCCTTATATGTTTTAGCCTCCAGTCCCCTGATCATCTTTGTTGCTCTTCTCTGTACTCTTTCTAGAGTCTCAACATCTTTTTTACATCGTGGTGACCAAAACTGGATGCCGTATTCCAAGTGTGGCCTTACCAAGGCCTTGTAAAGTGGTATTAACCCTTCACCTGATCTTGATTCCATCCCTCTGTTGATGCAGCATATCACTGCCTTACCAAAAAAACCAAAAACAAAAAAGGTTACGGAGGTTTTCTCAGTATCCATACAAATAAAAAGTAAAACTCTTTCACACATTTAAATACTACACTACTCTAACCCCCCCCCCCCCAAAAAAAACCAAATCAGAGCAAAGTTTCTATGGTCTGTTAAGATTTTTATTTGTCATGTGGTTTGTACACAATCCTGCCAGCGGTCAACCAGATCCCCTCGCGGTGAGGACAGTGTCCTCAAGGGCTAGCGTGGAACCAACCGTACATTTTTGGTGAGACCTTGTACACTCAACTCACACATATTTTTAAGTCTCTGGAAAAAAGGGAACTCAAGCAATACCAGCAGTCAGTGACAGAGGCATCCTGGTGCCCCGAACTGTTCCTAAAGGTTTTACGCTTCAAAGGTAGACAGAAAAGTTAGGACAATCTCCTTCAACTTGGCTTCTGTTTGCTCAGATATCTTCCCTTCGGTCCTGTCGAAGTAAAAGAAGAAATAAATTTCAACTCTGGCCAAAACAAACTGGGAGACCAAGGCCTTCTTCGGGACCTTTTCCCATCCCACCACAGTCTGCAACGCGAAAGTCTTGCATGAAGCAAACATTTTTAATTTTCACTCCCCTTATATAACTTTTTTTTAAGCAATCCACGCTGTCCTTACCGGATTGTGGTGAGCAAGGGCTGCTGGCTGCTTAGCACATGGGCGAGGAAAGCCTGCTCAAATTTGGTGATCTTGCTAGGCTCCAACTTGTCCAGATAGCCTCTGACCCCAGCATAGATGACAGCAACTTGTTCCTCAATGGCCATGGGAACTAAGAGAGAGAGAGAGAGAGAGAGAGAGAGAGAGAGAGAGAGAGAGAGAGAACAACATCAAAGTCCATAGCAGCAAAGCCTGACCTCAAAGCAGGAAAACCACATCCTTAAATGTGATTGGAACCTAAAAGGTGATACATCGTCAGGTGGAAATAAACAGGAATATTTCTTGAGTTCAAAGCTTAAGAGTTTATTGCTACCTATACCCAAGAATCTAGTCAACTAACAAGTCGAAGCTACATGGGCGCTAGGTACGGGTCAATGGAATTCACCGGTGTGTGTGTGTGTGTGTGTGTGTTAGAGTTAGGCCTCTTGTGGCAATGCAATGATTCCTTTATAATTTTAAAAAAAACACATCATATTATTAAGATGTAAAGTGTTGAAGGAAAAGTCTTCATCGTGGTTCAGTCCAAGCCGGGAATAAACAACATGGCGACTGCTTTAGAAAAAAGGTTGAAGAGGAGAGCCAGACAGGAAGATGGCTCTGGAAGAAAAGAGAGAGAGAGCACATGTAGGGAGTGGGTTTTTATACCCTCTGGGGCTCTTGAGGTTGTTTCCTGCTCCCGTTTGAGGCTTTGTATTTCCTGAGTCATGTATTTTGACCTGTGTCCCTTTGGCATCTGTGGGTTAATCCTATTATGTCCTGTCTTAGAGTTTGGGTGGGGTGTGTAGATTTTAGGTGTCTTTGTCTTCTTAATCTTCCAGCTTCAACCTTCCTGAATGGATTATCACATCTGCATTTCTACAGAGCTGGTTTCTGCTTGGGGGAGGGAGACTTGGGGCTATTAAGAAAAACTGGGCATGTTTTTTTTGCCTCTTTAATATTTCCTTCCCTGGGGGGGGCTGACTTCCCACAAAAGTAAAATACAAAATACAAAGCAAATAGGACACAGTGGGGAGGAAAAAGAGAGAAGGGAGGGAAAGAGAGGGGAAAAAAGAGAGAGACTGACTTCCGACTTCCCCTGTTGCAGTAGCATTAATGTTGAGCCTCAACTTTTTTACTTTTTCACAATAGTAAAAACTAGCCATTTCTGTAACAACAAATCAATCTAATCAGCGAAACCCAGAATCAAAGTTTCATATTTTTTTCCACCTCAAGCACAAAGTCCAGAAGCGGTCTCCATATAGAAACGAATGTATTCTTTTCTTCAATCAAAACAGTCAATTTTGCCAAGAAAAATAGAGGACCAAACCAGAGATCAAGATAGCCTGCATTGAATCAAGTGACACTACAAGCAACAAAAAGAGACCTATCATCTGGAAGAGAAGCCTTGTTATGGAAACCTACTTGGCAAAAGAGGAAAGCTAGAATAAGATTGAAAAATGAAATTTAAAATTTCTTAAATTGGATTAAAGGCAACCTAGAACTATGGACTGATGTAAGGACTGAGATCATGAGTTTGAAGTAAAAAGATGTTTTAGAGTTGGAGTGAATTAATAATTAATTGAATGTTAATTCAATAAGATGACTTGTTTGTTTTATAACATGGATGTTTAGCTATGATAATTAACTGGTTGAAATTTAAACTCCACTTAATGGATTGAAATGATTTAAGGTTTGATATTAATTTGTCAGCTCAAAGAGATTAATTGAAAGATTAGATATGTATAGAATAGATTGATAAATACATATATTTAGATGTTTAGGATAGATCAATAATTTTGCTTAAAAATGAGATATTTTTATATAATGGATTAAAGACAATTTAGAATATTAAGAATGCTTTTTTTAGAATCTGAGGTTTATTTCTATGAAAATTATATGACATGATTTAAGGTATGATATTATTTTTCTAGCTTGAAGCGATTGATTAATTGATGGATCTGATAGGTACAGGATAGATTACTATTTTACTCCAAATAAGGGAGATTAATGGAAGAAGTAAATAAGATCTTGATAAAATTAAGAAAGTAGAACATACGTGGAATGGATAGTTGAACTGAAAGTTTTTATTTAAAGTTAATTTGATTATGGTATTGTAAACTAATGAAGCTTAAAAACAGGTTCAGGTTGAATAAACGTAAGCTAGAATTGGATATTTTAAATATACTATGCTATTTGAGGGAAAAAGAGAGGGAATATTTGATGTATTGATTGTATTATGTATATATGTTTTGTGATGTTTGATTACGCCAGCACCACGGTGTGTCCTGAGCATGTTGTTCTAAGAAACAAAAAAACTAATAAAATTTGTTTAAAAAAAAAAAGTCAATTTTGCCATCTCTGCCAGCTCCTGTAGCCCTTCGTCCATAGTTGGAGGCAATGCAATGATTGCAAACTGATGACACGTTTAACCCCTCCTTCCAGCTCAGCCTGCTCTTCTCCTACGTACATAATGCTCACAAAAGTGATCCAGGAGAATACCCTGCTCTTCGTGAGCCTCCGTTTTTGTGCCTGATCCCTTTGCTACACAGGTAACATTTATAACTGCACAAACCCACAAGGCAAAAACCACAATTGTTTGGAGTCCAGCGACTTGCTAAGCCAGGCATAACGGTAGATAATTGCACAGGAAGGATAAGGATTGCATACAGGTGCTCCTCGACTTACAACCCAAAATTTCCATTGCTAAGTGAAAGTTAAAGCAGGGATCCCCCAACCCCTGGTCCGTGGACCGGTACCGGGCTGCAGCATGCCAGCAATCGGTCCACACAAACAAGCAAAGTCCCATTTGTGGAATGCAGGCAGCACACAAAACCACACAGGAAAAGCCTTTCTCCACGGAACTGGTCCCCGGTGCCCAAAAGTTTGGGAACCTCTTGAGTTAAATGAGATTTGCTCCATTTTATGACCCGTTTCCTTAATAATCACTGCAGTTGATTAATAACATGCTGGTTAAGTAAATCTGGCTTTGCCACTAACTTGGCTTGTCAGAAGGTTACCAAAAGTGACGGTGTGGCCCTTTGGACATTGCAACTGTCATAAACACACGGCAGTTGCCAAGTGACCAACTTTTGATCACGTGATGCTGCAACGGTCATTAAGTGGGAAAACAGTCGTCTCTTTTTTCTGTGCCGCTGTAACTTTGAACGGCCAATAAGCGAACGGTTGAAAGTTGAGCACTGTCTGTAGTCAGAGAAATGTCCTGGGCTTGGCTTGCGCAAGTATTTTTTTTTTTTTTAAAAAGGCAGTTAATGAGGACTAGAATTCTGAACAGCAACTGGACACGGGAAACGCCAAAGGACTCCTCCTTACCGTATTGCCCTTGTTTAAGCAGCTCGGTCAAACGGACCCCACGGTTGAGCAGCTGTTGAGTGGCGGCATCCAGATCGGACCCAAACTGGGCAAAAGCAGCAACTTCGCGGTACTGGGCTAACTCCAGCTTCATGGTTCCAGCCACCTACGCGATAGGAGGACGCATGTAAAGAGAGAGTTGCAGGCAGAATGTCAACACTGCTAACATCGGACGTTTTTGCTTTGACAACAGTTGGAGATGCAACCATTTTCTTCTTATGTTTTACTTTTAGAGTTAGAGCTAGAGTTAGATGATGCTGGGGAGGGGGGATGTGCATGAGAGTTCAGCTAGACATAACAATACTGGACCTAGCGTGAGAACCAAGGTTATTGAAATAAGAGACGATAAGAACTGGTGGCTGGAGAGCTGAAGGGAAAGCCCACACTTTAAACTAATTGGGGAATGTGATTTATGACAGTTAATTGGAGGAGGGAATTGTGCTTTGATACTATGTGCTCAAGGGAGGGGGGAATTCAGTTTTTGGTTTGATTGTGTTCGTGCCAATATTATGCTTTTCGAATAAAAGATTCTTTAAGGTCAACAATGCCTCGAAGTTCTTTGAAGAGTTTCATCTGTCGGAACCATGACAGATGTGACCAGTTTTTAATAGCTGCCACTACTCCTGAATTGCTAGGTGGTTTAACCTCCCCATCAGTCTTTCCCAGCTTAAAAGCCTGTCCCTCTTGTTTCGGAACCATTACGAAAAAATCACTCTTGTCGATTCTGGACAATTTTTATACTGTTCCAATTGTAAGAGTCTGGGAAATCTGCCTGGAATGTTTGTGTTATGTTCCAAATACATTAAGTGGGTGATAATAATAATCATAGAGTTGGGAGGGACCTTGGAGGTCATCTAGTTCAACCCCCTGCTCAGGCAGGAAACCCTATACCAGGGGTCGGCAACCTTAAACACTCAAAGAGCCACTTGGACCCATTTCCCAGAGAAAAGAAAACACTGGGAGCGCGCGAGGGGGGGGGGAGCTTGATTGAAGAGTTTAATTAAAAAGAAATAGAGGCCACTGTGCATGAGTTCTCTCTCTCTCTTCTTCCCTCTCTCTCCCTCCCTCTCTCCAATCTTCTGCTCACCTGGCAAGCTGGCTTCACGCTGTCCTCCAACAAGCTGACACACATTCTTATTGGGCTGGCTCTCTCCTGCCCTTGGTCTGCCAGTCCTCTTCCCCCACTCAGTGTGTGTGTGTGTGAGAGAGAGAGAAAGAGAGGGAACGAGCTGCTCCTTCCTGCTTCCTGCTGAAATGCAGCAAAGGCAGGAGCCCCGCCCAATAAGCTTGTCAGCTTGTCGGAGGACAGCGTGAGGCCACTCTTTTTACACACACACACACACACACACACACACACACAGAGAGAGAGAGAGAGAGAGAGAGAGAGAGAGAGACAGAGACAGAGAGACAGAGCGCCTCTCTCTCTCTCTGCAAATGGCGGAGGAGGCTGGGAGCTGCAGGAAAAGGCTCAAAGAGCCACATGCGGCTCCAGAGCCGTGGGTTGCCGACCCGTGCCCTATACCATTTCAGACAAATGGTTGTCCAGTCTCTTCTTAAGACTTCCAGTGTTGGAGCATTCACAGCTAACCGTGATAGTTTCGTATGTACCTGCTTCATGGCCCTTGTCTGGGCAGCCGAACCGACACGAGACACGGACAGACCCACGTTAATGGCTGGACGGATGCCTTTGTAAAACAGTTCTGTTTCCAGGAAGATCTGCCAGAAAAAGAGATGTATTTATTTTATGCCCACCTTTTATGATTTTTATAAACAACCCAAGGTGACAAACATATCTAACACTTCCTCCTCCTGTTTTTCCCCACAACAACCCTTTGAGAATGAGTTGGGCTATGAAGCAACTGGCCCAAGGCCACCCAATCAGCTTTTGCAAGCAGGGACTAGAATTCACAGCCTCCCAGTTGCACCAATTATGACCAAACTGACCAATTTATTTATCAGGTGCATCACACATACCTTCTAGTTCAGGGGTCTTCAAACTTGGCCCTTTTATGACTGGTGGACTTCAACTCCCAAAATTCCTCAGCCAGGCATGGTGGCTGAGGAATTCTGGGAGTTGAAGTCTACCAGTCATAAAAGAGCCAAGTTGGAAGACCCCTGAGAGTCTGGATCCAAGCCCGCAGTTTCCTCAAAATGGCCGACTGAGGAATTCTGGGAGTCGAAGTCCACCAGTCATAAAAGGGCCAAGTTTGAATACCCCTGTCCTAGTTTATGGAATGTAAACAACTGTTTAGTTGTTGATAAAGTAATCTCTAGATTACCGCTCCAAAGATGGGGTATAAAATAGTGGGAGCAGGCACGCAATAAAAATGGGGTTTGCACGCTGTCATGCCATAGTGACCAAAGGGTAGAATAATTGGACACTATTGTCTTTATCATTATATGGGGAGCTGTATACAGCACTAAGCTAATCTACATCTTCCCTGCGTGATAAAGATCTGATTGGTCAAAGCTTATGATGGGATAAAACCACTGGCTTACTTATGGTTAGTATGTTGGTTTGAGGTGCAAGTATACATACTGAGCAATGAGTTTGCTTAATGACCGCCGCAAAAAATATAGTAAAATTGGTTGATTCATGAGTGACCGGCTGACCATTATAACGTACAACTTTAATGGACAGGTTCCATTACGGTTATAATTTGAGGACTATCTGTATATAAAACAATATAGTAGTAGCCAAAATTGTGGAAACCTTTTGGGAAAAGTGTGTTTTTGAAGTTGGATGGCTAATAACACCACTTTTTTGGGAGCAGTACCATAAAAGTACCATATATATCAATGGAAAGATAATTGAATCCAGAACGTAATGCAACAAAGTTTGTTGAATTATCTGTACCGTATTCTATGAAAAGTTATAGCCAAATAACCAGAAAAAGGAAGCACAACTTGCTTAGGTTGATCTCAGGTAGCTTTCTTTCATCTTACTGTAGCCAATGAGCACGAGTGTTTAGAGAGCCAATCAGGTGTCACCTTGTTTTGGCAATGAGCCAATCAGATCACAGTAGGATCCAGTTATTGATGTTGAAGCTGAGAGGAGGACATTTGTCAGTGTGTTATGTGATTGCTATCAAGTTGGTTGGGGTTTTTTTGTGTTTTTTTTCATTTAGTGAGCTTGCAAAATGGATTACCTATATAAAAGCAGATTTAACTACATTACCCTTTTTTAAAAAATGTTTTTGACTTACTATTCCTTACTACCTTACTGTTGGCTTTGCGTTAACACCACCAAAAGAGAAGTAGCCCAGTGTCTATTGAGATTTTCAGTCATCTGGGTCATAGTTGTCCCAAAGATGTTTTTTCACGAGGCAACTGGACTTTTTTATTGCAAGGAATCATTGACCTTTTTCTTGTAACTGCTGGTGGGATCAATCTTCAGAGTCTCAGACATGGCAGTGTCCTTTAGAAGACTGCTCGCCTTGGCGTAGTCATAGTAGTAGTAGTAGTAGTAGTAGTAGTAGTAGTAGTAGTAGTAGTAATAATAATAATAATAATAATAATAAAAAAAAAAATTGGAAGGGACCTTGGAGGTCTTCTAGTCCAACCCTCTACTCAGGCAGGAAAACCTATACCATTTCAGACAAATGGCTGTCCAGTCTCTTCTTAATAACTTTCAGTGTTGGAGCATTCACTGCTTCTGGAGGCAGGTTGTTCCACTGGTTAATTGTTCTGATTGTTGGGAAGTTTCTCCTTAGTTCTAGGTTGCTTCTCTCCTTGCTTAGTTTCCATCCATTGCTTCTTCTCCTGCCTTCAGGGGCTTTGGAGAAGAGCTTGACTCCCTCTTCTTTGGGGCAGCCCCTGTGATATTGGACGACTGCTATCATTTCCCCCCTCATCCTTCTCTTCATCAAACTAGACATACCCAGTTCCATCAACTGTTTTTCATTTATTTTAGCCTCCAGTCCCTGATAATTGTTCTGTCAGGAAATTTCTCCTTAGTTCTAGGTTGCTTCTCTCCTTGATGAGTTTCCATCCGTTGCTTCTTGTCCTGCCTTCAGGGGCTTTGGAGAATAGCTTGACTCCTTCTTCTTTGGGGCAGCCCCTGAGATACTGGAAGACTGCTATCATGTCCCCCCTCGTCCTTCTCTTCATTAAACTAGACATACCCAACTCCAGCAACCGTTCCTTATATATTTTAGCCTCCAGTCCCCTGATCCTCTTTCTTGCTCTTCTCTGCACTCATCTGTGTTCAGGATGATTGTGCAGCTTCCTTTATCAGCTGGCGGGATGGTGATGTTTGGTTCCCTTCCTAGGGATGTCACTGCTCTCCTTTCTTGAATTGTGAGGTTGGAAGGGGGTGTTTTGGCCCTTCATCCTTTACTGGTTCTGCCAGTTTATTGTCCCCAATGGCTGACTCTGTGACTGTGAGGAGATGTAGGATGGGTAGCTGTTCTGGTGTTGCTGCAAAATCCAGTCCTTTGGCTAAAACGTTACTTTCTGTTTGGGTGAGCTCTCTGTCAGATTCTATTTCTCACCCATCGGTCATTTTTCTGAGACTTGTCACTGCCCGTTCACTCGTCCATTTGCCTCGTGAAAAAGCCTCTTTGGGAGAAGTAGCAGAGGTTTTAAATAATAACCCCCCACTGGGCCCAACCGCTCCTCTTGCAGGCTTGTGTTCCCCTTGGGACCCTACCTGCCCGTCGGTGATGGAGATCACGTTAGTTGGAATGTAGGCCGACACATCGCCGGCTTGGGTCTCGATGACGGGGAGAGCAGTCAGGGACCCCCCTCCAAAGGCGTCGTTCATTTTGGCTGCCCTTTCCAGGAGACGAGAGTGGAGGTAGAAGACGTCGCCCGGGTAGGCCTCGCGGCCAGGGGGACGCCGCAGCAAGAGGGACATCTGACGGTAGGCCACGGCCTGTGGGTCAAGAGAGCACAGTTGCCGTGTCTGTCTCGGAGTCTCCCCGTCCCTTTGATTCGGAGTCTCCCCGTCCCCTTGATTGGGAGTCTCCCCATCTCCTTAATTCGGAGTCTCCCCGTCTCCTTAATTCGGAGTCTCCCCGTCCCCTTAATTCGGAGTCTCCCCGTCCCCTTGATTGGGAGTCTCCCCATCTTCTTAATTCGGAGTCTCCCCGTCTCCTTAATTCGGAGTCTCCCCGTCCCCTTAATTTGGAGTCTCCCCGTCCCCTTGATTGGGAGTCTCCCCATCTCCTTAATTCGGAGTCTCCCCATCCCCTTGATTGGGAGTCTCCCTGTCCCCTTGATTCAGAGGCTCCCCATCCCCTTGATTGGGAGTCTCCCCGTCCCCTTGATTGGGAGTCTCCCCGTCTCCTTAATTCGGAGTTTCCCCGTCTCCTTAATTCAGAGTCTCCCCGTCCCCTTGATTGGGAGTCTCCCCGTCCCCTTAATTCGGAGTCTCCCCATCATCTTGTTTCGGAGTCTCCCTGTCCCCTTGATTGGGAGTCTCCCCGTCCCCTTGATTCAGAGGCTCCCCATCCCCTTAATTGGGAGTCTCCCCGTCCTCTTGATTGGGAGTCTCCCCGTCCCCTTGATTGGGAGTCTCCCCGTCCCCTTGATTGGGAGTCTCCCCGTTCCCTTGTTTCGGAGTCTCCCCGTCCCCTTAATTCAGAGGCTCCCGTCCTCTTTGATTCAGAGGCTACCCAACCCCTTGATTCGGAGGCCAAGCCGAGGTTCCAACCTGCTTAGATAAGTCATCGTAGATGATCAAGGCATGTTTGCCATTGTCTCTGAAGTATTCGCCCATGGAACAGCCGGAGTAAGGAGCCAAGTACTGGAGGGGGGCAGCATCTGAGGCTGTGGCAGAAACCACGATTGTGTACTTCATGGCATCTGAAACAGAGAGATAACCAAGGTCAATGAAGATGGAGGCAGCTTAGCCAGGAGAGGAATTCCCCCCCCACACACACATATTTGATTCCTTACTTTGGAACTGAGGTCCAAAGATATCCACTGTTTCTTTCCTTTGTACTCAGCAAGATATAATAGAGTTTGTGTGTATGTGTGTAAATAAATTAAAGGTTTATAATCTTGCAGGGTCGTATTATTAGCTGCCAAGGCTGGATGTGGTACATAGGCCTCAGGTGGGACACGCCTGTCTGAGGACAAGCCAACCTGACAAAAAGTGAACTTTATAGGGATGTTTGAGGAATAATGCCAAAGGCAGGTCAACGTAGATCTTTTATATTATAAGGAAAACTCAGAAGATCAAGCGTAAGGCTGCTCTGGACTACACATTTTGGCAAGCCCTACGTTTTGGGCGAACGGAAGGCCGGTACCTGCGTCAGTGAGCCTCTTGACCAGCTGAGCAACCGTCGATCTCTTCTGACCAATGGCCACATAGATACAGTACAGTTTCTTCTTCTCATCGGTTCCATCATTAAACCTTTTCTGGTTAATTATAGTATCGATAGCAATGGACGTTTTGCTGCAAATTGAATATGTTAACAGTCAACATCGCCCCCAAATTAACTCAGCAGGCTTTTTGAAAAAAGAAAACTGGGGAATTTTTCAATGGAAAAGCTGAGTAATGCCAAAGAAGGTTCCCCCCCCCCACTATTAATTTTGCAATTACGATGTGGACGTTTTTGAATCAAATGCCCTCAGGGATCCCCGTGTAAAGAAGATCCCAAAAGCTTAAATATGAGATAGTAGATATTAAGAGAAAAAGAGAGAAAGTATGAAATGCCGAAATAAGAGCAATTTTGGTTACTAAATTGAAGACATTTGGAAATTAACAGAAAATAAGAACGTTATACTGCATTATTAATCAGTTGAGGTAAGAGGGTGAGAAATAGAATATATTCAAATAGATAAGACGTGTGTCCTGAACATTAGATTTTGCAATGAGTTGTGATCAAGGGAACTGGGGTTATTTAAAACTTGGGAATTATAAATATTAAATGTTAAATTGAAATATTAACGAGAAACTAAAACTTGGGAAAACCAATTAGGACATCGATTGTCTATCAAGATCGAATGTTAAAACAACTAGGATATGTACAACCTAAAAATCATTGATAAATGTAAGAAAGTTATTTTTTATTTAATCGACATAATAAGAATTGTATTAGTTTAAAAATGAGACAGTAACTATTAAGGGGAAAGGAGAGGAAATATTTAATGTGGTAATTTCCATCCAACATCCACATCTGCCTATCCCAGGTCCTGGGTAAGAACTCGATAGGTAGACAAAATGCCAAATCCAGTCTGAACATCTGGCTGACTGTGCGATGATCCATAATAATAATAATAATAATAATAATAATAATAATAATAATAATGATAAAGTTGGAAGGGACCTTTGGAGGTCATCTAGTCCAACCCCCGCTCAGGCAGGAAACCCTATACCATTTCAGACAAACGGCTATCCAGTCTCTTCTTAAAAACTTCCAGTGTTGGAGCATTCACCACTTCCGGAGGCAGGTTGTTCCACTGGTTAATTGTTCTCACTGTCAGGAAGTTTCTCCTTAGTTCCAGGTTGCTTCTCTCCCTGATTTAGTTTCCACCCGTTGCTTCTCGTCCTGCCTTCAGGTGCTTTGGAGAATAGCTTGACTCCTTCTTTGGGGCAGCCCCTGAGATACTGGAAGGCTGCTATCCTGTCCCCCCTCGTCCTTCTCTTCATTAAACTGGACATTCCCAATTCCAGCAACCGTTCCTTATGTGTTTTAGCCTCCAGTCCCCTGATCATCTTTGTTGCTCTTCTCTGGACTCTCAACATCTTTTTTACATCGTGGTGACCAAAACTGGATGCAGGATTCCAAGGGTGGCCTTGCATGTTATTGAATCATAGATTACCTTAGCCGCCACGTGGCTTTTTAAATATTTAAATGTAAAATTAGAAAATCAATACAATTTTCTTTTAAAAAAAAGGAAGAAGATTCCAAAAGCTAAGAATTCACAGTAGCCAGGGGGACCTCTTTCTTACCCAGTCTGCCTGTCTCCAATGATCAGCTCACGCTGCCCGCGGCCAATGGGCACCAGGCTGTCTACGGCCTTGATCCCAGTTTGCATGGGCTCCCGGACGGAGATCCTGGGGATGATTCCGGGAGCCTTCAAGCCAACCCTCCTGCGGGTTTTGGAAGTGATGGGGCCCTTTCGAAGCAAGGCGACAGAGTCAGGCTTTCCCATCCACTCCTCCCCAACAGCCCCAGAGGTTAACGGCCACCTGCTTTCCACACCTACCTTTCCGTCGATGGGATTCCCCAGCGCATCCACTACGCGCCCCAGCAGCTCCACCCCGACGGGCACGTCCACGATGGCCCCGGTTCTCTTCACAATGTCCCCTTCCTTGATCAGTCTGTCATTGCCAAAGACGACCACACCGACATTGTCAGGCTCCAGGTTCAGAGACATGCCCTAAGGAAAGAGAGAACTCATTTAGGAGGAAAACCCATAGGAGAGAGATCCAGTGGGACCACCTTCCCGACAAGCCCAATTCCTACAAATAACAGAAGCCGTTCTGATCCAGAATTAAGATGCTTTGTAATCCCAGATCATACAGACAGCTCAATAAAGATGACTGCAAAACAGACATTTATTCAGAAGGAAATACTTGCATTTGTGATTGTTGCTTCTGGATATGGTACATTTGTTCATCCTCATAGGTAAGAAATCAATACTTCCTCCATACCAACTTCTAACGTGGAATGGGACCATCTGAGTCCTGCGGTGGCCCCATGCTTATCTCAGACAAAGAACATTCCAAACTGGCACGTAGCCAGGATATCCTGTAATGAACTTTAGTAGCTCCTCCTACTGACCTGCTAACATGAGATAGCTGACTAGCTAAACTACATTACCCATAAGCCATCTCTTAAGGAGACAGCGCTTAACCCAATAAATGCCAAACGTTCTAACATACAGATCTACATGCTCTAGTCAGGGTTACATGATCCAGAACAGAAGCGGTAAGTAATAGGCAAACCTCGCCTTGTGACCGTAATCGAGCCCACGTGTTTGATTGCAAGTCGTGAAAGTTAGAAAGCAGGTCGCCGTTTGTGACCGTGCCCAATTTTGTGATCGTTTTGGGGGCGGTTGTTAAGCAAACCATTGTTCGCTTCGTGGAGTTTTTCCCCCCCCAGAAAGCAGAGGCAAATGCCAGTTTCCAGAAATATCAACGTAAATTGCAGCCATGTGACCACGGGATGCTGAAAATGGCCAGAGTGGACACACATGAAGGCCACAGCTTCAAATCCAGATCTTAAGATTTGTTTGCAGAATCTGTTCTAATGTGTAAGGGCCACTAAGCACTGATAAAAGGAGAATATTTGTAGTTCAGGGTTGACATGAGGGGTCCTTGGTGCTCTCTGAGATTAGTTGTTTTCTGGCAGACGTTTCAGGACCCAACTAGGTAACATCATCAGTGCTAGAAGGGAGTGGGGTGTATGGAGAGGAGGAGGAGGAGGAGGACTGTGAGGTCCTTGGTGCTCTCTGGGCTTGGTTGTTTTCTTGCAGACGTTTCATGACCCAACTAGGTAACATCATCAGAGCTAGAAGGGAGGGGGGTTGAAGAGGAGGGAGGAGTATGACTGTGGGGTCCTTGGTGCTCTCTGAGTTTGCTTGTTTTCTTACAGATGCTTCATTACCAGACTAGGTAACAACATCAGTGCTAGAAGGGAGTGTGATATGTGGGGAGGAGGAGGGGGGGAGGAGGAGGAGGAGGAGAACTGTGGGGTCCTTGGTGCTCTCTGAGCTTGGTTATTTTCTCACAGATGCTTCATTACCAGACTAGGTAACATCATCAATGCTAGAAGGCAGTGGGGTATGTGGAGATGAGGAGGACAATGACTGTGGGGTCCTTGGTGCTCTCTGAGCTTGGCTGTTTTCTTGCAGACGTTTCATGACTCAAACTAGGTAACATCATCAGTGCGCTAAGCAATCAGTCATAAGTTAAGGCCTACCTGTCCATTGTAAAATATAAGTGAGCACTACCATGAGGATATAGTTCTGCAAATATATTCTGTATTGTCGAATGAAAATATTAATGGCTAGCAATCAGAGATAGCAACCAACACCAAAAGGCACCTTCAGACGCTAAAGGGGCCGAGAACCTCGATGCGTTAGTTTAAACAGCATTTTCATCACTCATATCCTACAATGTTTTCGCACAGTAATAAAACGGGCAGAGAAAAACCAAATCATTACAATTAAGTTTCATTAATGCAAACGTGGATAGGAAGACTGACCTTCAACCCGGACGAGAATTCCACCATTTCTTCCGCTTGAACATTTTTCAGACCGTACACGCGGGCGATGCCGTCGCCGATGGAAAGCACGCGCCCGGTTTCCTGCAGCTCGGCCGATGTGTCGGCCCCAAGAATACGTTCCTCAAGAATGGAGGATACTTCGGCAGTGCCTGGAAGAACATAGGCCGATATTAAGACGGTCTTTTTTAAACAGCCCTGGTTCAAATCGCAAGTTTTGTCAGTCAAGCGACAGGCAGTTCCATCCCACAAAGAAAAAAAAAATCAAACTTGCAAGATGAAAAAGTTTCTACAGCAGGCAAAAGGGGAAGTTTACAGAGCATGTCCTGTTTCCTTTCAAGCAATTGTTCTAAAAAAATCTGAGAACTGGAGATTCTCTCTCTCCCTCCATTACATCAAATTATATAGCTTCAATAAAGGTGCACACTACAGTCGTGGCCAAAATTGTGGAAACCTTTTGGGAAAAGTATACAGTAGAAATGCCACCTTTGGTTAAGTTTCCACCCATTTTTCTTCTAATTTCTTTATAACTGTAGCCTTGTTCACTTAATAATACTATTTTACATGGCTTTCTGGGTGATCCGTCAACTCTTTGCACCATTACTTTAATTTTATTACGTTTTACAAGCTCACTCAATGAAAGAACACAAAAAACCCCAACCAACTTGATAGCGATCTCATAACACACTGACAAATGTCCTCCTCTCAGCTTCAATACAGGACATCAATAACTGGATCTTACTGTGATCTGATTGGCTCATTGCCAAACCAAGATGACACCCGATTGGCTCTCTAAACACTCATGCTCATTGGCTACCATCAGATGAAGGAAAGCTACCTGAGATCAACCTAAGCAAGGTGTGCTTCCTTTTTTCTGGTTATTTGGCTATAACTTTTCATAGAATACAGTACAGATAATTGAACAAACTTTGTTGCATCACATTCTTGATTAAATTATCTTTCCATTGATATATAATTTTATGGTACTCCAAAAAAAGGGGTGTTATTAGCCATCAAACCTCAAAAATATACTTTTCCCAAAAGGTTTCCACAATTTTGGCCACTACTGTATGCACCTCTATGAAAGCTACATACAGCTACTAAAATGAATAAGCTAATTGAGATCATTCTCATTTACACCAATAAAATATATATTCCAATTTGGTATTTTCAAGACAGCCAATTTCTCTGCAGAAGACACCCCCAAATGTAGAATAAAACTAAATGTGGGCAAGCTGAATAGGGTACTTAAGCTAATAAATACTTTTATTAGCTTTATCTATTTATTAGCTTTACCTCTTCAGTCTACAAAGCTCACAAGTTATCAGCAGTACTCAGGATGTATTACAGTATTTTTGCCTGGGTTAGCTTTAAGAACTGAAGTACAGTCTATTCAAGCCAGAAATTCCAGCAAACTGTGGGATGGTGAACAATTAGCCAGTGAACACAGCATGGCAAATTCTGCTTTGCTTTGGTCATTTAAAAAATAAGTTTCATTTCACTCTTGCTGGGACATGAATCCAAGTAGCACCCATATTCTGCAACATGACAGGGAAAATCATCTGGTTGAATTGGGCAGTTATAGAAATTGAACAAATGAATGAATAGCAAAATGTCAAACAACTTAAAAAGCTGCACGAGAAACACATTTAATTTAGAGATAAAGCCAAGAGTTATTTTATTATCAAAAGCGAGACTGCACAGTGTTTACCAGTTTTCTGTAGAGTTGTTGTGGAGGCATGGAAGTTCCTTGTTGCTACAAATGAGGTGCCCAAAGCATTCCTTGACACCTAAGACGAGAGAAAAAAAAACATAGGGTCTCCCGTTTGAAACTTAGATCTTATTTTTCTGGCAAAATTTTTGAGTTAAAAGTTATCATTGATGACCAGAGCTCCTTATTGCAATACATTATTTCTATACAAAACTACACAGTAAGTACTCTTTAAAGCAGCTGTGTGTTTTATGAGGCTCATCTGTCTGCCCTCTGCCAAGGATACCAGGAAAAATATGAGGTGATTTTAAAGAGGGGTAGTCAGTTAGGGTTTCTCTCCAAAGCCCTTTTTAGGAATCAGAAGAGATTAAAGTTGTATGCTTTACTTTTAAAAAGCATTTAATAGTATCTCCTGTTTCTGAAAAAGCTTGGGATCAAAGCTTTAAGGTGAAATTATTTCCAAATGCTGCTCATTCACAATCCTCATCCTGCAGAAGCTTATTCATAGCCCTTATTCTCTGCATTAACCTTCAGGGAAAAATCTTACTAATGTCCAAACAGGAATCTTAAGGCTACTAGCTATGTCTAAAATCTAAAGCGTACCTGTGCAGTTTTTGCTGTGCTCCCATTTAAAATGTATCCCAAACATTTGCTGCTGCTTTAACAATGTCAAAAGTAGTGTCATTTTAGAGACCAACCAACAGTTCAATATACTATGTTACTGGACTAGACCAGTGGGTTTTCAACCTGTGGTCCACACATCCCTGGGAGGCCACAATGTCATCACAATGTCAAGGAGAGAAGCAATCTAGAACTAAGGAGAAACTTCCTGACAGTGAGAACAATTAACCAGTGGAACAACCTGCCTCCAGAAGCGGTGAATGCTCCAACACTGGAAGTTTTTAAGAAGAGACTGGACAGCCATTTGTCCGAAATGGTATAGGGTTTCCTGCCTGAGCAGGGGGTTGGACTAGATGACCTCCAAGGTCCNCCACTCCTGCCCAGGCCCCCACAGGCACCCTTGACGCGAACGATGTAGAGCTGGCCACGCCCACCCAGCAGGCCACACCCACTCCAGCCACGCCCACCCAGTAGGCCACACCCACTCAGCCCACCAAAGGGAAACCGCAATGCTGATGCGGCCCTCAATGAAATTGAGTTTGACACCCCTGGTCTAGGGCTTTAAAGTATTTAAAGGGGGGGGGTCTGTGGCAAAGAAAAGATCAGCAATCACTGGAATAGTCCAATAACAAAGCATATATTGAATTAATGGTTAGTCTTTTAAAAGACGCTACTTCTCCACTGCAGTAACTGGAGAAAACAGGGACAGATGCACAGGCTTTTAAAGTCATGGCACCCATCTGAAGGGATACCCCTAATAAAACCCCACGAAAACTGACTGAATTGTAGCAGCAAAGTCGTCGTTGCGAATACTGCCTTGGTCAAAATTGCACAAAAAGACTGAACCGAGGACGAAAGAAATTTAGAATTCTCTTCATTGCAGATTTAAATCAGGGGTAGTCAACCTTGGCTCTTTTATGACTCGTGGACTTCAACTCCCAGAATTCCTGAGCCAGCCATGCTGAGGGGAAAGGGGAGAGGTTTCCAAGCTGAGCCATGCTGGCTCAGGAATTCTGGGAGTTGAAGTCCACGAGTCATAAAAGAGCCAAGGTTGACTACCCCTGATTTAAAGGCAAGGCTTGCTACTCCCCACTTCCAGATTTTGAAAATGAAAGAAGCAAATGCTTCAAGGGCTGCAAACTGGACTTCTCAGGGGAGACAGCAAGAGGACAAGCCTGCAGTGCAGACCCATCTCTCACCTCCCACTGCAGACAAAAAAAAAAGTTCCTTTATTTCATTAGAAAATGTGGGTTATATATGATCCCTAGATAGCAGCAGGTCCTCTCGCTTGAAAAGCTCCAAGGTCATAAAAACCCATCAGGCAAGTGTTGCAGCTGGTACAGGCAGTCCTCAACTTACGGCCACCACTGAGCCTAAAACGTCTGTTCTTAAAGCGACACATCTTTAAGTGAGCTTTGCCCCGTTTTACAAGTTTTTTCTGGCACTGTTGTGAAGTGAATCACGGCTATGGATAGATTAGTAACACGGTTGTTAAGTGAATCTGGCTTCCCCCAATGACTTTTTGCTCCTCAGGTCGCCGAAGGGGATCACATGACTTCGGGACGCTGCAACCGTCATAAGTCTGAGTCAGTTGCCAGTCCCCAAATGATGACAGTTATTGAGATTTTGCGACCTTTCTTGCTAAAGTTAGTAACACGGTCGTTAAGTGAAACCCTGCAGCGGTTAAGTTAGCAATGTGGTCGTTAAGTGAATCTGGCTTCCCCCAATGACTTTTTGCTCGTCAGAAGGTTGCTAAAAGGGGATCACGTGACTTCGGGACACTGCAACCGTCATAAGTCTGAGTCAGTTGCCAGTCCCCAAATGATGAGTTATTAAGTGAGATTTTGCACCTTTCTTTCTACAGTTAAGTTAGTAACACGGTTAAGCGAACCTGGCTCCCCAATAATTTTTTTGCTCGTCAGAAGGTTGCTAAAAGGGGATCTTCATGTGACTTCAGGACGCTGCAACCGTCATAAGTCTGAGTCAGTTGCCAGTCCCCAAATGACGAGTTATTAAGTGAGAGTTTACGATCCGTCTTGCGACACTTGTTAAGTTAGCAACACGGTCGTTAAGCGAATCCCTGCAGCGGTTCAGTTAGCAACACGGTTGTGAAGCAAATCTGGCTCCCCCCCAATGATTTTGCTCAGGAAAAAGGGGGAATCACGTGACTTCGGGATGATGCTGCAAACCGTCGTAAGTCCGAGTCAGTTGCCAGGCCTCTTCATTTCGATCACATGACCACAAGAGATGCTGCAAAGTGTGAAAAAACGGTCCTAACCAAGTCCCATTCCCCCCCCCGTGCCGTTGTATCTCTGAACGGTCACTAAATGAGCGGTCGTAAGTCGAGGACTACCTGGACAAGACACACACACACACACACACAAACACACACCCCGAATGGAAAGTCTCCTTCCCTCCATCCAGGTAGCCCATCAGCCACGGCCAGAGATCAAAAGCGGGGCAGCCCCAAATGAGGCTGACCTTCCTCTGACAGACACGCCGCAGAGACCCCCCCCAACCCAGTAACGGCCCCGGGGGAGACGAGCAGGCCTCGCCCAGGCTCTCAAGGGGCTTCTCCCTCCCGCCCACCGGCCGGCTGCAGAGCCCGGCGAAGGGATGACCTTGCCGGGGTCACCGCCAGGCCGAGGCCTAAGGCCCCGGGGCGCAGCGAGGCCCAGACGCCGGCCAGGCCCGCGCGGGAAGGGGTGGGGGGGAAGGCCCGGAGCAGCCACGGAGGACGCCGCCGCCTCAATGTCACCGCCAGGCCGCAGCCCAAGATGGCGGCGGCGGCGGCGGCGTTAGCGGCATTAGGACCAGCCCTTCTCGCCCCGTGGCTCACCAAGCCGGCCTGGCGGGGCAGGGCCCGGGCGAGCGCGGCCACCACGCGCACGGAGAGCATCGTCGCGGCGAGCCGGGCGGAGGAAGAGACGGCGCGGATTCTCGGCTGGCGCTGAGGCGGAAAGCAAAATGGCCGCCGCTCCGCCCCCTCTCAGGGCCGGGTTTACCTCACACTCCCCCAGGCCACGCCCCTTCCTCCCGTGAAAGTTGCCGCGGTGACGATTCCGCCCCCCTCGAGGGTTGGGTTTATCTTACACTCCCCAGGCCACGCCCCTTTCCTCCCCTAAAAGTTGCCGCGGTGACGACTCCGCCCCCCTCGAGGGTTGGGTTTATCTTACACTCCCCAGGCCACGCCCCTTTCCTCCCCTAAAAGTTGCCGCGGTGACGACTCCGCCCCCCTAGGAGGTCGGGTTTACTTCACACTCCCCCGGGCCATGCCCTTTTCCTTCCTCCCCTGAAAGTTGCCGCGGTGACGACTCCGCCCCCCTCGGGGGTTGGGTTTACCTCACTCTCCCCCCAGGCCACGCCCCTTTCCTCCCCTGAAAGTTGCCGCGGTGACGACTCCGCCCCTCTCGGGGGCCGGGTTTAATCTCACTCTTCCCCCCAAGCCACGCCCCTTTCCTCCCCTGAAAGTTGCCGCGGTGACGACTCCGCCCCCCCAGGAGGTCGGGTTTACTTCACACTCCCCCGGGCCACGCCCTTTTTCTTCCTCCCCTGAAAGTTGCCGCGGTGACGACCCGGAAGCACTTCCTCCTCCTCCCGTCCTCCGACCCCTCTTTAAAAAAAAAAAAAAACGCTGACGAGGATGTCTGTTTCACTTTTTTTGTTTGCTTCAAAGTGAGGGAAGGAGGGTTTTTTTAAAAAAAATAAATAAAAAAAATAAAAATAAAAATAAAAAAAAATCTCAGCTCAACATCCCAGGCATCAGCTTGGTTTGTGGAATGAAAATAAAGTTTTTTTTTCTTCCACCTTCTATTCCTCCTTAACCTAAAACCTTGACCTAAAAAAGGGGGGGGGAGAAGAGGGGAAGGGGCTTATTTCAGCCGGCCTACGACTCCCAGGAGCCCCTGCTCCTGATGACGTCATCGGGCAGCGACCGAGGCAGGGGAGCGGGAAGTTTGCCGTGCAAGCGAAGCCAAGGAGTCATGGAAGAAAAGGTAGCGAAGGTGAGCGGGGCTGGGAGCCTTCGGGGATTTGTCCTAAGAAAGAATAATAATGATAATAATAATAAAATTACAAGGATCGGAAAGGTTTTCCCGAAAAGGCACCTTCCCACCCTCCCCCCCGCTCTGCTCTCTGTTTCCTATTTTGGGGGTAATGCCCTGCAACTTAAAGACTGTTGGATTCTGCAGCTCCAGATGATGATGATGATGATAATAATAATAATAATAATAATAATAATAATAATAGTAGTAGTAGTAGTAATAATAATAATAACAACAACAACAAAACAACAACAATAGTAATAGTAATAATAATTGATGATAATAATAATGTTAATAAAGTTGGAAGGGACCTTGAAGGTCATCGAGTCCAACCCCCTACTCAGGCAGGAACCCTATACCATTTCAGACAGATGGCTGTCCAGTCTCTTCTTAAACACTTCCAGTATTGGAGCATTCACCGCTTCTGGATAACAGTTAACAGATAACAGTATTTAGCAAATAACGCCCTGCGAGGCTCAAAGCTTTTGGGTGAGATCTGTGGGGATCTAGAAGATTTATCTTTGTTAGAGGAGCGATCTCCGTGTTCCCTTCTTCCTTATGCTGGATGGGTGACTTTGGGCCAATCACCGGGAGATGGTGAGTTCTAGTCCTGCCTTAGGCATGAAAACCGGCTGGGTGACTTTGGGTCAATCACCAGGAGACGGTGAGTTCTAGTCCTGCTTTAGGCATGAAATCCAGCTGGGTGACTTTGGGTCAATCACCAGGAGACTGTGAGTTCTAGTCCTACCTTAGCCATGAAAGCCAGCTGGGTGACTTTGGGTCAATCACCAGGAGACGGTGAGTTCTAGTTCTGCCTTAGACATGAAAACCAGCTGGGTGACCTTGGGCGAATCACCAGGAGACGGTGAGTTCTAGTCCTGCTTTAGGCATGAAATCCAGCTGGGTGACTTTGGGCCACTTACTCTCTGTCAGCTCAATCCACCCCACCAGGTTGTTGTTGCGGGGAAAAGAGAAGGGAGAAGGGGATGTTATGTATGTTTGCTGCCTGGAATTCTTTATAAACAAAATAAAATAAAGGCAGGATATGAGTCAATGCATTAATAAAAATTCTAAAATGCCATGACATTGAAAGCGTGCCTACTCGCTTTTTTCAAATACGTTCGTACCCCGGAAACGGAATGGAGGAGAAAGGCCGTTATTTTTTCCTTTCTGCGACAGGTCACTTCGTGGTTGAAGAAGCTTTTTGGGGACCAGCCGGTCCCTCTTTACGAAGTGAACGCCCGGACGGTGGATGTCTTGCATGAGCTGGCCGAATGCAACGAGTCCAGAGATGGGGATGTCCGCTTGTTAATCGAAGACACGAAGCAGAAAGCAGCGGAGTACGAGTCAGATGGTGAGATTTATTCATTTCCCACCTTTTTGGGTTTGGATCCATACCTGAAGGTGGTAAATGTACTTCATTTTCCCATTTTCCCCATAACAACTCTCCTGCGAGGTAGATTGGGCTGAGTGGCCCAAAGTCACTCGGTCAGCTTTCGTGCCTAAGGTGGGACGAGAACTCACCGTCTCCTGGTGATTGGGACTAGAACTCACAAGTTGCCTGGTTTCTAGCCTAGTGCTCTAACTACAGGTAGTCTTCAACTTACAACTTACAACTTACATTTGTTTCGTGACTGTTCGAAGTTACAATGGCAGTGAGAAAAGTGACTGTTTTTCACACTTAACGACCATTGTATAATATTATTTATATGTTACATATGAGTAACATATAAATATTAACCACTGTCCATGTATTCAAGATGGACAGTGATGAATATTTATATGTTACTCATATGTAAGTGTATATAGCAGGGGTCTTCAGACTTGGCCCTTTTATGACTTGTGGACTTCCAGAATTCCTCAAGCCAGGCACACTGAGTTGAAGTCCACAAGTCATAAAAGGGCCAAGTTTGAAGACCCTATACATATGGCTGTGGGACTTGGGTATGGCTAGTCTAGAGAAAAGAAGAAATAGGTGAGACACGATAGCAGAGTTCCAGTATTGAGGGGCTGCCACAAGACAGAGGGGATCATGTTGTTCACCAGAGGGAAGGATGAGAAACAATGGCTGGAAACTGATCAAAGAGAGAAGCAACCTGGAATTAATGAGAAACTTCCTGACAGTGAGGACAATCAACCAGTGGAACAGCTTGTCCCCAGAAATTGTGGGCGCCCCATCACTGGAGATTTTTAAGAAGAGACTGGACAATCACCTATCTTGAGATGATATAGGTCAGTGGTGGCGAACTTATGGCACTCAGAGCCCTCTGTGTGGGCACGGACGCCATCGCCCCAGCCTCTCCTCCCCCTGTGGCCCCCTCCACAACAGCAGCCCCCCCCAGAGGAGAGTCGCCCCTGGGCATGGCCCACGCGGAGCAGCGCAGCCAAGGACATGGCAGCCGGGCAGCGGGGACAAGACTCCACACTAATGCCCCATCGTGTGCAGATGATGCTGCGGGGTGCAGGTGGAGGGTGTGGCCCACATGGGTCTGCAGGGTCGCCTGGGCGATCTGCGGTGGGTCGTGGAGGTGGTGGGTGGCCCTGCGGGCAGGTGAGGCCGGGGTGGTGTGGTGTGGGGGACGGATCAGAGGTGGGCCCAGGGCAGTTTTGGGGCACTCAGTCTGTAAAAGGTTCGCCATCACTGATATAGGTTCTCCTGCTTGAGCAGGGGGCTGGACTAGAAGACCTCCCAGGTCCCTTCCAGCTCCGATTCGATTTACTCTACTCTGCTCTGCTCTGCTCTACTCTAATTCTATTCCTGTAAGCCGAGAGTATCTGTCCTAGATCAAACTGGCTCTCTAATTAGATTAGAGTAATTGTGCCAGTCTCAGGCCAAGCATGTTTAGGCTGTAAGGTGTCCTTAAACCACCTGCTGTCTTACCTTTGTTTCCCCAGGCCTCTTCCTGCAGGAACTTTTAATGGAGAGTCTGAATCTTTCCCTCAGCAGCCTATCGAAAGCCAGCACGAGCTACCTAAATAATCTAGTGGATATTGCCGTGGCTCTGGAGACAAAGGACACATCTCTTGCAAGGTGGAGTAGCTCTCTTCCAAAGACCTCTCTGAAGGCTTCAGGGCCAACTCTGAGGAAGGCATTGCAGGCACTTCATCATTTTTAGAGAGAAAAGTTGGAGAAAATTTAAACAGTCCTTCCTTCCTTCCATCCATCCATCTATCTATTCATCTGTCCATATATCTATTTATCTATCCATCTATCCATCTACTATCTATCTGTCTATCTGTATCTATCCATCCGTCTGTCTGTCTGTCTATCTATCTGTCTCTCTCTCTCTCTCTCTCTCTCTCTTTATCTCTATCTATCTCTATCTTTATCTCTATATCTCTATTTATCCTATCCATTCATCCATCCATCCATCCATGTCTGTCTGTCTGTCTGTCTGTCTGTCTGTCTGTCTGTCTCTATCTATCTATCTATCTATCTATCTATCTATCTATCTATCTATCTATCTATCTATCTATCTATCTATCTATCTAATTTCTATCTATTTATTCTATCTATCTATCCATCCATCCATCCTATCATCTGTCTGTCTATCTATCTATCTACCTATCTACCTACCTATCTGTCTGTCTGTCTGTCTGTCTGTCTGTCTGGTATATATGTCTCTCTCTCTCTCACTCACCATCTATATCTAGCATCTATCTGTATGTTTACCATCCATCCATCATTCTCTCTCTCTCTCTCTCTCTCTCTCGTTCTAGCTTTAAAACTTTATTGAAATTCAGATAATCTCTGGTACAGCATTTGTTTATTGTTTCAATTTAGAGGTTGAAATCACTTTGGTAGAATCTAGTACAGATTTATTTATTTATCTGTTTCCATTTGTAGGGTGTCTTTCTCAAAATGGTGGCCTATACTTTAAAAAAATTAAGAATAGAGGAAAAGAATCATCTTCATGTTAGTCTTTTAACTGCTTCTTGCTGACCTCATGAATGAGATGAGAACATCCGGTTTTGCAAGCGATTCCAAATTTTTATCTGTTTATTTATTTATTAGACTTTTAAGCTGCCTATCTCACCTAAACTCCCTCAGAATCTAATCGTGACTAGTCGCTAGATACTTTGACAGCTCTCGATGTCAAAAAAACCCCCAAATCCTGATTAACTGGCCTTTTTGTCTTTAGTTTTATTCCTGCCATCAACGACTTGACTTCTGATCTGTATGGAGCGCAGTCCAAAAACAAAGAACTCGAACTCGAACTCAGCACCCTGAGGAGAAAGCTCACATCAGCGCTTGTGCTGGAAAAACGCCTTCAGGAGTAAGCATGCTTGGCGGTTTTTCTTTCTTTGCCTTGCCTTCCTTTCTTTGCTCCCAAAGGCTTTTGCAGAGTTTCAGGCTATAGAGCAGGGGTCTTCCAACTTGGCCCTTTGATGACTGGTGGACTTCAACTCCCAGAATTCCTCAGTCGGCCATTTTGATGAAAGTGCGGGCTTGGATCCAGACCAGGGTTCTTCAAACATGGCCCTTTTATGACTGGTGGACTTCAACTCTCAGAATTCCTCAGCCGGGCACGCTGGCTGGGGAATTCTGGGAGTTGAAGTCCACAAGTCATGAAAGAGCCAAGTTTGAAGACCCGTGTCTTATTGATTTTCAGCTATATTGAGCTGAATCCATCACAATTAAATGGCGTGCTGCCGTTTTTGATTTCCAAATGTATGCCAGGTATGCATTCTGGGTTCTAGTGATTCAGATGTCATTGCAGAACCAAACAGAGGTGTTAATAGTTCAGAAAACAGATGGAGGATACTGCTTCTGAAAGCACCCGGCATTGGTTGCTAATTGTAGCAATGTCAATGATGTTACCTAGTTGGGCAGTGAAACATCTGCAAGAAAACAAGCAACCTCAGAGAGCACCAAGGACCCCACAGTCATTCTCCTCCTCCTCCTCCTCCTCCTCCTCCTCCTCCTCCTCCTCCCTTCAAACCTCACTCCCTTCTAGCACTGATGATGTTACTTACGTCCGGGTTGAAGGTCAGTCTTCATATCCATGTTTCCATTAATGAAACTTAATTGTAATGTTTTGGTTTTTCTCTGCCCGTTTTATTACTGTGCGAAAGCATATGGTAGGATATGAGTGATGGAAATGCCGTTTAAAGCAACGCATGAAGGAGTTGCTCGGCCCCTTTAGCGTCTGAAGGTGCCTTTTGGTGTTGGTTGTTATCTCTGATTGCTAACCATTAATACTTTCATTCGACAATATATGCAGAATATATTTGCGGAACTATATCCTCATGGCAGTGCTCACTTATATTTTACAATGGACAGGTAGGCCTTAACTTATGACTGCTTGCTTAGCGCACTGATGATGTTACCTAGTTTGAGTCATGAAACGTCTGCAAGAAAACAGCCAAGCTCAGAGAGCACCAAGGACCCCACAGTCATTGTCCTCCTCATCTCCACATACCCCACTCCCTTCTAGCATTGATGATGTTACCTAGTCTGGTAATGAAGCATCTGTGAGAAAATAACCAAGCTCAGAGAACACTAAGGACCCCACAGTTCTTCTTCTCCTCCTCCTCCTCCTCCTCCTCCTCCTC